AATAGGGATAAGAATAAGATACAAATCAGACAAACAGTCCCCTTTACAACTACTTTATCTCAGTTACTAGTTTTTCCATCTAAAAGAAGAAACCAAAAGAAGAAGACTTTCAAGGCTTCATAGCATCTTTGTCCTTTAAGTATAATGGGATGTGCTATTTGGATAGGGGACTTAGTCATAAAGGAAAGCAAATGATATACCTATAACAATTCATGAGATGTGCCTGAGGGAAGAAGCCCATCAGATTTGGAAATCTGTCCATTTCTTCTACACAGAACAACGCTCAAGTCAAGAGGTGAATTCTAATAGGAAATGGTACCAGCGTCTTGGCATTTCAGTATGAGGTACAGAGCCCATTGGAGAGTGGACTCACCTCTTCTCCTGCCACGTCTGCTCGTGCACTTCCTCACCTTCCCCACACAGCGTGTGTACCTCCCTCCTCTGAGCCTCTCACATGCTGGTCTCACTGCATGAATGGCCTTCCCGCCTTTCCATGTAGAAAGGCCTACCCGTACCCATCCTTCAGAGTGCCGTACAAATGCTATATCTTCTGGCCCTCTATTCTGAGTCAGTTATCCTACTCTGTATCCAACATAATTACCATAGAGAGTCAGTGGTTAAGAGCCAGCATTCTTGAGTCACACAAGTCTGAAGGCTGGCTCTACAATATTTTTGGTGTACAACCTTGTATACGTATAGCTTCTCTGTGTCTGTTTTCTCATCTCAGATGAGAAATGTGTTAACCACTTGTTAAGATTGTTGTAAAATATAAATGAGATGATCTATGTAAATGCTTAAGATACTTCCGGCACATAGCTGGCATTTAATATGCTTCTTTATAATATTTTATAATTATACCCTGTAATAATAATAATTATATTGCACTTAAATGTGCAATTAAAGCTGTTTAATTAGTTCTCTCTTTCAAACTAGACTTTGAGATCTTTAAATGCAGGAACAAAGTCTTTTATCATCTTCACATCCCCGAGGCCCAGCATGGGGCCCGACAATACAGTAGACAGTCAAAAATGTTGAGCAAGTGAAAGAAAGAATTCCTCTGCAATCTTTTCTGCTTAAGAAATTAGAGAACAGCTCTCCTAAAAGTGAATGTTATCCTGATAAGCTCTGAGGTCAAAGATATAAACAAGGTTAGCCTGCCACACATCACAGCTACTGCCCTGGATGGCAACCAAAAGTGGGCCAGAGTAACAAACACCACAGCACACACAGTGACATCCAGGCAGGCGGGTATGTTATACTGCAGGCTGCTCCTAGTTGCATTTCCTGTGTTGATGCAAATGGAATAAGCTAGAGGGCCCCTTTGGCCAAATTTCCCAACTATGAATTGATTCTCTGGTTATATACATCCACACAAAATAAAATAAAGTTGTGATTCTCACAGGCAAATATCTGAAAATCAATTATTTTAGCAAGGAGGCTTGCTTTTATGATAGGTAGGCAGCACAATGCACGGCATGGTTTCATCCTTCATTTGGGTGAGTTTAAAAAGATGGAAACCCACATCAGCAGTGGAAAGCAAAGCCAGCTCAGGCTCCCTAGCAGGGAGGTGTGACAGTTAAGAGACTGTGCTGAAGGCCACTAAGATGTTGGAACTCCACTTCTGTATATTGAGCAGCCCTGACACTTCCATTCCATGCACAAGTATCAGAGCCATTTTCTTTGGCTTCCAGCTAGGCCTTCTGAAATGAAGATAATGCAAAACCAAACCATCAATCTGCAATCAGAGGACAAAGGAAACTTAAGTGTACCATTGACTCAGTCCTCTTTCTTTCTCTACTAACTAGGTCATCTGAAAAAGAAATGCCATATCTAAGAACATATGGTTATTATTTTAGGGGGGGGGGAGTATCTACTATATAGTCCCCCCACTTTTTAAAAAAATGAAGATTTTAAAATATCTACCAAGTTATAGAATCTATAGATTTTTTTCTATGCCACATTTGATAAAAGACTATATTCCTCCATATAACTATATCCCCCCCAAAACTGGGGGGAAAACTAATATTTGCAGGGAAATAAAAACAGACTACAAAGAAACAAAGAGGCTGGATGATCTGCCCAAGGTCACCGTCAGTCACAGGCGGACCAAGAATAAAGGCAGGTCAGCCCGTCCGTTTTGAGTCCCTCCTCCTTTGGAACTTGCTGCCTGTTTGATCACAGAGTCAGCATCGGTCAGATTCACACTGATCTCAGCAGGAGCTTTTTGCCTGAATTAAATGCCAGCTCTGAAGATGAAAAATTCTACAGAAGTCCCAAGTATGGCTGTCACTATTAAAAAGCCATTTGCCTCTTATTTAAAAACAACAAACAACAACACAGAAAATCTCAGCAGCAAATCACACTTTCATATTGATCTTGCTCCTTTCTCCTCTGAGCACAAGAGTTGAAGGGTCCTTCCCCTGACTTCCTCCCACTACACAACAGCATTCTAGGCAGCAGACCCTGGTGCCACCCCCTCTCCTAGAATATATATTACTTCTCAGCAGGCTCCCTGCAGGAGTAGAGAAGGAGCCAATCTGTGAGGGAGCAAACACAAGATCTCCAATTATAGCACAGAGAAGACAGAAAATTGCCACCCAAAGTGTAAATTACTTTTTTTGCTTGGGAGAAAAAAAAGAATCACTCTGGGTTTCAAAGACGCCTTTTTAGAAGATGACTCCATGGCGGTGAATATCCCTGTTCTGCAGATCAGGACTTTGGCTCCTCCATACTCTCCAAAGCCCTAGCCATCGACATCACAGAATGCAGGATTTAAAGAGTAAACTATCACACGAAAGGGCAACAGGCAGCTATTCTGCGAGGCCAAAGGAAGGCTTGGCTGGCCGCTCCTCAGCCAGTCTACACACACCTTTTGCTGCTGACCCTCAGAGGACATTGTGCGAAGGTCAAATGAAGAAATGTCCCTTTAGAATGCCAGAGGCTAAAGAGAGGAGAAGAGGCCACAGCGATTCAATATCAAGGCAAGTAAGACCTCCAAGTTAGAGAAGCAAGACCAAATGGACCCTCTGAGGATTGTGGGTGAATGCTCTTGGCTTTCTTTCGGGGGTCACAGAAAAGTGTCCTGGCCTCTTGGAGCTAGTCCGAATGGCCGGTTAGGACACAAGCCCTGCAGCCAGACTGCGTTAAAGTCCTAGCTCTGCCACTTCCGAGCTGTGGAACCCAGGGCAAGCTAATGTTTCTGAGCATTAATTGTCTCGTTTTACAAGTCAGATAATAACTGTTTAAAAGCTTTACGTGAGGATGAAATGAGAATACATATAAAGCACTGTAGAAAGTAAACCTTCAGTAAATGGTAGTCCCGGTCATTACAGTTGTTAATTAGCAGGACAACTACACAATAAAATTGAGGGCAAGAAAAAGATATGACCAGACGTACAGATATTTGGCCACTTCATGTCAAACAGCTTGTGAAATCAAAACTGAAAAGAGGAAAGAAGGCAGGGAGACTCCAGCTGGTAAGAAGGAAAGAGAAAACATAGATCTGTTACAGACCAATACGTTTCAACAGGGCAAGATCCTTGCTTTGTTCCTGCTACCGAAAATAGTGGTTGGAATCCAATTCTCCCTGAACTTCTGTGCAGACTGCAGGGACGTGACTGTGGGGTGGGAATGCTGGCAAAGAGACACAGGTCCACTAATCCAAGCAGACCTGGGACTCAGGCTCTCCGGATGAATGTCTCCTCCATCCCCTAGGCAGGCAGACCTTCCTTTCCGTCACCTTCCACTTCACACCCTCATTTAATACCGTCAGCAATAAAGAAACCTCACGAGCAAAACTCTGTTTGGCTTATTGAGATGTAGAGTCTATCATAAATAAGAGAACTTCCCGATCAAAGGCAGGATGCCCTGAGGTGCTAATTGGAATACACTGAGCCAAATGGTAGTTCAACACAAACAAACTGCATGGAACCAACAAGTATGGATTTAAAGGCTAAAAAGGAAATCTGACTCCTCTTCCTGCCAAATGGAACATACTTCTCAAGTGTTCATTGTACCAAAAAGCAGTTCTGTCAAGGCCCAGTTTAACAGAATCCCCGCTGACACCGTGGCAGCTCGGCTGGGGAAGCAGCTTGACATTGTTGTTGCTAGTAAAGAAACGCCATGCTTCACGACTATCTTCTCAAAATGACACGAAGATCCAGCTATTAAATTCTAAAGCCCATCTATCACACTGCATAGTACCTCTGAAGGGAGTTAGTCTCTTCTTAAGGGCCCTGTATCCTTCCAATCAACGAGACTGGCATGTGACCATCCAGACAAGAAGAGTGTTCATACTAATCAGACTCTTCCAAGACAAGTGCCACTGCTGCCCTGTGGAGTCTGCACACTGCACTTCTGCATTTCTGAGAGCCTGTGCTCACTGCCTGAGCAGGATGGCAGGGATGGTAAGTAAACCAAGTCCAGGTTCACTGAGAGGCTGAGGCCAAAATGAAATTCACTTTTAAATTTCATGTGGTGATAGAGAAGCACAAAGGAGCACTTTTTTCCCTAAACAAAATTTTGTGTTCCTATGATCTAGGCTTCATTGTGTAGGTGTCTTGCATTGGACACAAAGATATCATAGGTCAGAAATAAATAATAATGGATCCAGAGCCCATTAAGAAAAAAAAAAAAAAGGTTACCCAATTCCAATCAAGAAGGAACAATGCAAAAACTTATCTAGTCGGTCCACCTGGGAGCCTAATTACCATTCAAATACTGTGCCCCTCTTCTGAACAGATATTCGGAATGTACGAAAGAATAGAGCAAAGTTATTGCCACTACATACTTTAAAGTCTATCCTTTAGCTGAAGGTTACAGGCATGAAAAGGCATGGATGGGGAGGGAGATGGGAATCTTGCAAAATAAGATCTTCAAAGCCCTGGCTTAGGATGGAGATCCCCTTTCTGTGCTGTCCATTTCTCACGGGGCATTAGGAGGCCACAATGTCACTCTATTTCAATTCTGAGAACAGACAAGCAGCAATAATGTGATCTTACCTAAGTCCATCCTCTTCACCCTGAAAGAAACAGAAAGAAACAGCATTAGAAATTGGCATCAGTAGAGACGGATTTAGACTTCCTTTCCTTCTCCTTTCCCAACCTGAAAGCAAGACCTGTGTGTTTACTGTTAGCAAGAGACAAATCAGGAGATGCCTAGCGGCTAAGACAAGGGCCAACACAATCCTGTGTTCAAACTGCCCAACAAAGGCGAACTGATCACTCACCCTTGCAAGCAGACCTAGGAGGCTCAAATAAGAGCTTTGCTGTTTTACCTATACAGTTGGCAGTATTTAGTTCTGAGCAAACTGAGATCCCAAAATAGCAGCAGATCTTGGGCAAAAGCTGACCAGCTCCCAAGGTATCAAGCAGTTTCCCTCAAAGACTCATTTCTGTCTTGGTCTTGCATTTTTTTTTTTCTCCAAAGAGAAACAGTAGCTCTAACATACAGAACACCATCTGAAAAGGGCACTGAACTGGGACTCAGGAATCTGAAATTCTGGTCCAAGCTCTGTTGCTCATTAGTGCTGTGCCCTTGGGCAAACTAATGAATTAATCTGGACCTTGGTTTTCTCTGTAAAAGGGTAATTCTGGGATTTGATGATTCAGATCACTCTTGACCAAACAATGGTGTTTCTATTTAATAACAATATTTTTATAGTACTTAGTTCAGTATTATAGACATACCAGAGGCCTGGTGCACAAAATTTATGCATGGTTAGGATCCCTAGGCCTGGCCTGAGATGAGCATTGATTAGGTTCCTCGCCTTCCCTCACCACCACCCCGTGGTTCCCCAACTCCCAGCCTCCTCACCTCCTTCCTCCTTCCCTCACTGTCAGAACCACCACCATGTGGTTCCCCACTTTTTGGTCTCTCCGCCTTCTTCCCTTGCTCCCTCAGCACCTTGCCACCACTGGTTGCCTGTCATGTTCTGCGCTGACCCTTCGTGGTCAGCACATATCATAATGAGCAATCAAACTCCTGGTCTTCCAGTAGAACTCTCAAGGAGACAATTTGCATATTAGCCTTTTATTATATAGGATAACATAAGTTAAGTTTAAGGTGTACAATGTGATAATTTGATACATGTATGTATTGAAAAATATTATCCCAATAAGGCTGGTTAACACTTTCATCTCCTCCATTTTTTTAAAGATCATATCTAAATTTTTCTTTGCATTACCAGAAATTATCTATAAACATAATGTTTGAATCCTATACCAGTGATACAAATTTCACTTTTACCTCATTTTGTTATTTCCAAATTTAAGCTACAATTTATAACATTGCATGAATGTTTCAGTTCAAATTTGGAAACTTTCCAGTGAGGTTTGATCTTAAAGGCCGGGCTTTCAGGCTACAGATGTGCGTTTTCAGATAGTGTAAATAGCATGTACATTACTTTTAGTAGCAAGATTAGCAACCCTCTGAATGTCTGCTGACCTATTCAGAATTGCCTTATAATTTTGTCTTCCTTCTTTCCTCCTCTCCTTTCTTCCTTGGCTTAAATTTAGTTATATTTCTATAAAATTCTCTGCCAGAGTTAAGTATTAAAAAAATGTGCATGTACTATGTACTATGTTCCATCCCTAAGAGTAATTCCATCAGAGTTAACAGGTGTAGTACAGTTAATGTTGGAGGAGAAAACACTCATTTATTGAAATGAAAATAAAAGAGAAGGGGCTATTCCATGTTCCTACTAACTAAATAACATTGTTGTGTCAGTTTCTCTGCAGTTCTCTGCATCTCAATATCCAATCTGTACAACTAAGATAATGAGATTAAATGAAATGATGGCTATAAAGTGCTCTCTTTCCTTTCTAGAAACTTTTTTAGGTACACACTGTCTCAATTCTGAGGAGGATAAAGTGAAAAGAACAAGAACTAATGTATTCTTTTATACACTCGTAAAAATTAATCAAGAGCCTGGGTGAGGGAAGTGGCTAACTGTCCAGTGGTCTCACATTTCCTGTCAGAATGCCTTAGATAATACCTGCCTCCTAGATTATATGTTGGCTGTCTATTGGATTGCTTATTCTGTGCCTAGGCTCTCCTGTCCCCAGGCAAGACTGCTAGTTACAGCTGAACCTACTGAGTGAGTTCTGAGAAGTCCACAGGACTCTCCTGAGTTTTCTTCTAGAAGGGCCCACCCTAAACCCATCTGGCATAAGCTTGACTAGAATTTTCAACAAAATGTTATACATTTTATATATTTTTAAAATGTTAGCTGCATAAATTAATTTTGGAAATAGATTCTAACTGCCTGCACATGTTGCTTGCTAAAATGTCTGAGACCTTTTATTCCGGTTAGAAAATAACACTGAACATACTAACTATATTCATTGTACAGTGGCTCAACATTTATCTTATCTTTCTTTCAGAGTCTGTTCTTGATCCTCACAATGTCCTAACCGACACGCCTCTCTTAATCCAGCAGTTATGTCCCCATTTATAAAGCTGGTTCCATATAAAAACCAGCCCGAGGAATCCTTTCACTATCCACAGAATCAGACCAAAACCGTTCATTCTGTCCTGCTTCACGCTCCACTTCCTGACTTATTCTCATTCAGCCCAGTCCTCATGCCTACAATTACTCAATTTATAGGCTCATTTCACTACTTGGGACCTGTCAGCAGCCTTCTCCTCTGGCTCTGATTTCTGGCTTTCCTTAGTAACTGTGATTAGTATTTGTCCCCAGTGACAATACTCCTTTAATTAATTAATTTAATTAATCATGATGGATTAATATTTTTGCCAGGCCCAGGTGCTGGCTAGTACTTCCCAAGGCCAGTGCTTCCATACGGTATACATCAGCCTAAACACTCAGACCCAATGTAGGCTTCCCATTCATTCACACTTAAGGACCACAGGAGGGCATTTCCAGAGCTAACAAACATGGCAGTCAGTTCCTCCTATTTGTCCTGCACTAATAATTGTAGGCAATCTCCGTTACCTCTGCCTTTGGCTCAGCTGCTTCGTTAGAGGTATCGAGTTGTTCCTTGGCTTGGGCCATCTGAGTCATCAACCTGTCCATGTGGGATTGGATGTCTGCCAGAATCTCAGTCACATGAGCTGTGGCCATCGCTTCCTGGATGTCCACTAGATGAAGGGCCTTCTGTTCCTCATCAGCAATCACTTTCTGAACTTTCTTAAACTCCTGCTGTATAAACGCCTTCATCTGGTCCCGCGTTACCTATAGCACATAGACAAGTAAAAAGAATGAGTTGGGCACACAAAGAAATGGGAGGTTAGAGCTATTACAGTAAGTGCTAGAAAGCCATGCCAAAGTATAAACCATGGCTCCTATCCAATCCTAAAGGTTTAGGAATACCCTCCAAACAATGTTCCCCTCATACCTTTAATAAATTTCCTGCTAATTTTTTGCCTCTTTCATTTTTAGGAAGTAATTCTTTATATATATGTTTTTTATTTCAGAGAGAAGGGGAAGGAGAGAAACATCAGTGATGAGAGAAAATCATTGATTGGCTGCCTCCTGTATACCCATACATACTGGGTATTGAGTCTGAAACCCAGGCCCTGATTGGAAATTGAAACTTGACCTCCTGGTTCATAGGTCAATGCTGAACCACTAAGTAACACCAGCTGGGCAGGAAGTAATTCTTTATCCTAATTTTTTATTTCCCTTTTGTTCATTTTATATCAGTAATACATAAATGCTTTTTAAAAATTTAATAAATGAGTTTATATGGTAAAAAATGAAATTCTCCTCTCAATATTCTTACACCATTTTCCTCCTTAGAAGGAATTTACCATTAACAATTTAGTATGTGTCCTGTCAGCCATTTATATATAAATATTATTTAAATTATATAACATACAATTTATATAATATGTTATATATAATACATAGTAATAATTTATATATAAATAATTGTTTTTATATAAATTGATCATAGCTAATATAAGTTTCTGTGTCATAGTTTTCTATTTAAAATATGTTAGTACCTACAGATCAACTTCATTCCTTGTACAATTTTTAATATCTGTATGAATATATATGGATATTTATATTATTTATAAGTGCTTTCAATAGATAAAATTGGAAAAAAATTAAGATATTTATTTACTTAATGGGTAAATATCTCCATTAAACATATATGAACACATTTATGTATACATTACCTTCTTAATGGAAATACAGGATATTTCCATTTTTTTGTTATTACAAACTGCATATCAGAGAAGATCCTTGACTATGCCTCTTAATATTTGCATATAAGTTTCTTTAAGGACCTTTGAAATCACTGAGTCAACTTATATAAAAATACTAATTAATACTGCCAAACTGCTCTCCAAAACCAGTGCATCAATTACATTCCCACAACCACGTGTGAAAGTAAGCATTTCCCTTACAGCTTCACACAATATTGGATACTATCAAGCCTTTACATTTTTACTTTCTGATGGGTGAAACTACATTATTGTTTTATTTTGCAACAACAATTGTGCAGACAAAATAAATTGTAACTGTAGGCTATATTTAGCTAAGGCATAAGAAAGGCAAACATAGTGAGAAACTACCAAAATAAGAACTTCTATTCTCCATATCTTGCCAGCAACTGTATTTACTTATGTTTCCTTACAACTACATTTACTTTGAGTACAACATGCATCCTGAGTAGCTGAGGGGAGGGATCAGGGAAGAGGTAGGACAGCAGACAACAAGAGCAAGGCCAATAGAGAGTTTCAGAGATGAAAGAGAAAATAGTGGTCATCTCAGCGACCCATTTCTTTACAGATAAGGAAGAAGACAGCTGCACACTCGTAGGCGGTGCAGGGATTCAGTATAATCATCAGGCCCAAGCCAGTTTGGCTCAGTGGATAGAGCATCGGCATGTGGACTAAAGAGTCCCAGGTTCGATTCCAGTCAAGGGCATATGCCTGGGTTGCAGGCTCGATCCCCAGTGGGGGTCATGCAGGAAGCAGCCAATCAATGATTCTTTCTCAACACTGATGTTTCTATCTCTCTCTCCCTCTACTTTCCTCTCTGAAATCAATAAAAATATATTTAAAACACTAAAATAAAAATCTGTCAGAAGGGAAATCAAACTAGGAAAACCTAGAAAAGGAGGTTGAGGAAGAGAAAGACTAAATGAAAGGGAAGATCAGCCATTTTTAATTGGCCTCTTAAAAAACAAAAAGAGGCTTGATTCTTTAATCAGCTTATGTAATAGTGCCATAAGGATGTCAAAGCAAAACAAGGCCTGCATGCTATGTATCTGCTCACACATCAAGTGACTAAGTGACACAGCCCGCAGGAATTCATATACTCTCTGCAGGTACTCTCCCTGGTGCTAAAGAAAAAGGGCGGGGAGTGTCAAATGTTATTAATGTTCCTGCCAATTCTAGATCAGATTGAGAACTGTGATTTGTGTTTATTTTTGTAATTCCTCTTTAGTTTTCGTGTGTGGATTTCAAGACTGTTAAGCTTTTATGGTGACATTTTATCCGTGGATTTCTGGTCTTGAAATAAATTAGATCTTATAAGATTTAGAATTTTCTCTTAAAGACTAAACCAAAGAAGTTTGAGCAAAGGGATGAATTTCTCTGCATGCCTAAGAAAGTCTCTTAACAGTTCCAAGTGACTATAAATAAAGATCAGAATAAAACCCGACCAGCAACCTATTTTACTAAACTCACACCTGTGGTTTGAAGTTAGGAAGCTGGCATCACAGTCAAGAAAAGTATGGGCCAAACTGCAGTAGGTGAATAAATTGTGGTTTTAAAAAACCAAAACCTCTGTTTCCCATTGCTTTACCGAGGTTTTTCAACAGGACATATTTTATTTTATCCAGATCAAGATACAAATTTAAGGCAGAATCATCCACTCTCCAAAACCTTTCTGCCCTCTTCTTACTCCAGTTCTTTACTAATTCACAAATAGGCATTCTCCAGCTTAATTCAAAAGAGCAAAACAAACGTCTCAGTCAAGGCATCCGTTCTAATTCAGAGCCCCAAGAAAAGACCCTTGGGGTGAGGGGGTGGGTCATATGGCAGGTTGAGTACTCTGATGGCAGGGTGACGCAGATTTAAAAACCCTCTTTCTGGTTCCATTTCACCTCCTTGCCATCAAAAGCCATTCAGCTAAAAACTTCACAGTTCTCCCAGAGCAGCAGGCCCATCCCATTAGCACCTGCTACCTAGGAACCAAGGACATCATCTCAGTACTCTTCTCAGGGCTTTTTGCCTCCATCCTATAGCTCCCAAAAGTGAGAGTGATAGACTCGTACTCTTGACTACATTGCATGTGGTGCTACAGAAAAAAGAGAAAATCCTACTGTGTTTCCCCGAAAATAAGACATCCTCCGAAAATAAGACCTAGCGCATGGAAAAATAAGACATCCCCCTGAAAATAAGACCTAGCGCATCTTTGGGAGCAAAAATTAATATAAGACACTGTCTTATTTTGGGGGAAACAGGGTATGTATGTAGAGAAGAGAGAAGGCTGGATGTATCACGGAATGATGAAGTGGGTCATGTAAAGGGTTTCTTTCATATAGCATCTATCAGAAATTGCCAAACCTTTGAAAATCCACAGAACTTCCCCCTCCCTCACCCCAAAATATTAACCTGGAATCCCAAAATATAAAAAAAATCTAAAAGTAGAGTTACTCTAGTTAAAAGAAAAATCTCCCCTTCTTCTTTGAAGTAGCCTGCTAGGGCACTGGTAGTGATCCCCAAGGAAACCTCACCCGAGGGACCTGGGTCCTCGCCAAAACCTAAAAGGGGTTTTCTCCCTTTGGTCAACTGATTGGCCCTTAAGAGCTAAGGTTACAAGCATATTGATAATATCTTTTTATGGTTGCATTAGGGTGAAAAGCTATGCCATTACTTAAGCATAGTACATACCGTAATTGGGGGGCAGGTGGCTTATTTGTTAACGGACAGTCTATTGAACATCTGATTGTTTTCATCAGAGCTGTGTCCAACCTCCACATTGTATAGGTAGGGGCAAAGGCACTGATAAAGTCAGGTTTAGAAACCAACTCTCTCCTCTGGCCAGTCCAGCGTACTCATCACTACAACATATTTCCCTTAATGATCCCTTTCTGCCTGCTTTAGGCTCTTCCATCTTATTTCTTTTTAATTGAGATGTTTCCGTGGTTAACAGGCTGCTTCTGTTATCCCCCCGGATGTAATTTCCCTCCACATGGGTCTTGGTATAAAGGCTGTACATCTGAAGAGTTAAGTCTCATCCCATGGCCTTTTCTGTATGCTCTTGTAGTTACTATTTCCAAGCGAGGCTGGGCCCACGAGACATGCAGACTGGCACTTTACACATACATAATTAAACACATAAAACCTCGAATTAAGAGCTTGTACCTAGAAACAACACCATTCAGTGTGCTCGGCTTGGCTGGAAGCCATTAACTCCTCGCTGGCTGGCCTGCAGGAAATAGGTTTTATTTACTTTTCCATGATAGGCAGATTACAGAAACAAGCATACCAGCTCGAAAACATCGTGGGCTTAAGAAAAATGTGTTCCAGAAAAGTGTTGATGACATAAACTGAGAAAGATGAACCAGGGTCAGGTATAGGAAGCTACATGAAAGAAAAGCATCAGAGTCCGCATTGATTAAACATTTCAAAAATTCTTGTTCTAGTAGCCAAATGGCCTGCAGGGTTTACCCAGTATTTACTCTGGCATTTTACTTCAAGAGAGCTCCTTCCCAACTCCTTGACAGGCGCCAGTGAGGGCAGGCAAGGTCAGAGCTGCACCAACAAGCAGAAATACAGTCCTTTCTGAGGGGGTGGTTCCATTCCCTGTGCCTGTGTCTGAGTGGAAAAGCCACTGCTTGTGAGTAAAACCACCGCCTGTTTCTAAGGGCTGGAAAACTGTGCAGCAGCCTAGAAACACAGCAGGCATGAGCTAGAACTACAGCCCATGACGAACATTGTCAGTGCTGCCAAATGTTATCCTGGCCACCTGGCTAACAGACTGACCTGCTGGGACTTTACAATGGGGTGTTGAGAGGGGAAGAGAAAAGGTCACTAAAGTGTACATTTAATCTCTTCCTCAAACCGTGGTTCTTATTTTCATCAGAAGCCTAGACAGAAGCACTCATTTATATCCTCTTTCCTCCTTTCATCACCCCCTTTCTGTTAACAGAGCACCGTGGGATTCCTACCTCAGTTAACACTTAGCTACTTCAAGAACCCACTCAATGAAGT